ATATGAATTTATAAAAAAAAATTCTTTATTCATTGTTACATATAAAAATATATTATTTATTCATGCCAAAATATTAATACGTCATCATTATTAATCGAAGTATTAGATAGTTTAATAGATATTTTAAAAAAATTCTCTAATCAAAGTTATATGTTACGTATAAAATATATCATTTATTCATGCATCATTATTATTAATTGAAGTATCGGATAGTAACGGATAGTTTAATAGATATCCGACTATCTGCAGAAATATTTTCGTTATCCGATATGAACGGATATCTAATTGAAAATCCGCTGAATTTTTTGAACGGATCCAAGCACTAGGCACCACTCATCATCTGCTATAACAAATATTCTTTTATATTTTATAACTAACCTGTAAAGAAACAGCAAGAACTCTATTTTGTGCTCTTATATTATTAGAATATGAATTCTTTGCCAAATTAACGGCATTTGTTACTATATTTCTTAAAATATCTTGTTGGATCCATGGATCCTCTTTCATAGCTTGATATATGATGGAAAATGCAGTAATATGATCTAATGGTGAGGTGGTAAGAAAATTAAAAATTTTTCCGGGTAAGTCATAAGACATATTTGTATAATTGTATTAGCTTGTAATTTAAAAGGTGTTTGATAAAGGGTAAAAATCACAAGAAACAAAATCACTTATAAGCGACAAATGATAATAAATTCGAGATACTGCCTTTTTATATATTTTTCTTATCTCTTCTCTGAAACTCGAAATGTTAGATGGGTTAAACAGAAGCAAAAAACATGTGCTCTTACATCAAAAAATTTCTATGATAGAAGTTAAGACATGCGCATTTAGGCTAGATAAAGTTTGGTTTTCTTACAAAGTAAAATCAAAAATATGTGGCATGAGTTAATTGATCGACTTTGGTTAGGTACTAATTCCAGAAAAATGGCACTTTGAGATTGTGCCCTATCTCACAAATAAGTTATGCATAACAATAAGCCTCAGATAAATTTTATATGAAATAAATTCTAACACATGTTACTAGGCCCGATGTGGGCAGGTTTATTTATTCAATGATCAAGTAATGTTTATTTTTTCTAGTTGACACATGTTACCAGGTTATCGTTAACACACGTGGGACTATAGTTGTTAGACGAAACCTTTTTTGCTTGATGATGAAAGTCGAAACCTAAGCTCTAAATGACGAAACCTCTGTCGAAAGTCGAAACCTTAAATCCTTCTGACAAAAGTCGAAACCCCAAATCCTTCTGACGAAAGTCGAAACCCAAACTTAAAGTAATGAAACCCTAGTGCTCTCGCTAAAAA